AACATCACAGAACAGAACCAACTTGTTTAATTGAAACAGCTGTTAAGATTCAATAATTTCATTTCTCATAAGGTTAACATGGGCTTCCAGAAATTCCACGTCAAAAATCGACAAAAACTTGATTTTCAAGGGTTTACTGTTAAATATCTAACTGTCTCATATTCGATGAAATACGTCTAAAACCATCTCATATATGTATAGTATTTGGAAAATAAGTTTCAGGCGGTAAATGTAAAAGAAATAATAGTGCTAGTGCTGCACCCTGTTGGTAATCCTTGTAACTTTAATGCTATTGAACATCACAGAACAGAACCAACTTGTTTAATTGAAACAGCTGTTAAGATTCAATAATTTCATTTCTCATAAGGTTAACATGGGCTTCCAGAAATTCCACGTCAAAAATCGACAAAAACTTGATTTTCAAGGGTTTACTGTTAAATATCTAACTGTCTCATATTCGATGAAATACGTCTAAAACCATCTCATATATGTATAGTATTTGGAAAATAAGTTTCAGGCGGGACAGTGCTATAGTTATTGAGGAGTAGTTGTAATAAAGTGCGTATTTTAGCGTTACCAAGAGAATGACAGATAGACAGACAGACAGACAGACAGACAGAAATTGAGATAAGGTTTGATTCGGTTTCTCTGACCTATGAAATGTAAAAATAACCAAAAAGTTCATTATTCTAAGCAATGTACAGACAAAACTCTAATTTTATTTATATAGATTATTGTTGAATTTAAGAGCGCATACATGTATGTGTATTGTGTAGTACAGCTATTTATTTATTTATCATTCCAACGGTAAATAACAATTTACAAAAAAAAGATCCAATATTATGTATATTCAGTATTTACATGTATTCCTAACGTATAATAAAATTTTCACATCTTGATACACTACTTATTTATTTATTTTTATTATTATTATTTAAAGCCAAGCAGTTTTTATAATTCATCATAGACAATGTTGAGTTTAAAAACGGGAATATATTTTTTATATTTTCTTATAAAAACCATTTTATTTAAAGAACTCCTGTTTTATTTACCGTTATGAAACTTACCACCATAAATAGAATATTTTTATTCCACACCCTTTATATTTCACAAATGTCAACCATTGTGTCAACCTAGAATACACCTCGTAATGAAAGTGGTCCGAGTCAGCCACATGGTCGACAATCGTGTGCGCTAACGTCATCAACGAAATTGAATCTCCGCAAGCCGCGTGTGGTGCGTTTTCCCAGCGTGATTTGCGAAATTGAACCTTAGTGTCATTGACCTTCGCCGTTGATTTGACACATTGCTCTGAACTGCTGTGTACATTTATGAAATGTTGAACAGAGAATAGTTATGTTATGTTGGTTAGAAACTACTATTAGCTAAAATAGGGTTTAAACTTAGAGTAGAGTGTACCGGTACCAATAATATAACCTTATGTAGTAGAGTAAATCACATATTTTATATGATTTAGTTGTACGTTAAATAGACTGAGAATTTGATAATTTTGAAATATTAGCTAAGCTAGTTAGCAAATGGAACTAAATAATGTGCCATAGGTTCTGAATCATGAAAAAAAAAACAATAAAAGTGCGATAAATTTATCTAAATTTATATATGTAAGATTGAATGGATTTCCTACAGAGTCAAACATTCTAATTTGTTTTGTTGAATCCGAACATTTTGGATGTATACATTCCTTTTAAAACTCCAAGGAGTAAGGTATTATAAATTAAAACTCAATATAATTTCTCCACATGATATTTTATCCACTTGATATATCAGATTAATATTTAAGTTTTCCTAAATTAAAAAGTTAATGCAGCTAAACCTTCACATTACAAGGTAGAGGGAAAATTAATAAATTTAACAAACAATTGTTAGCGTTTAATCCAGCACTGGGGCCATAGGTCACAACAATGTTGTGGAGGCTGATCGGATTATATAAGGGTCGCTTCAGATGTTGTTGTTGAAACAACATTGTCTGAACATCGTGGTATTCAGGTCAACAATGGACAAGGTATTGTCTAGACAGTCGTAGCTACATTCGAGTTAAAGTTTGGCAATTTATTTTGTTGATTCATTCTTAACTGTGGCAAAGTGCGCTTATTGATATTATTATAGTATAAAATCTGCTTTTTATTCTGTAATATCTTGGCACATTTTTGAAAATATCTTAATTTGAGGGTGGAGGACACATTACAATACAATGTTCAATATACAAAGTTACAGATTACAATGCTCAATAATGTGTAGCTATAGTCCAGATTTACAATCAAATACATAGTCCCGTAATAAATGAAATTTTAGTTAATTAATTAAACGTTGGATTTAAAAATAAACGGTTTCAGCAATCTGACGCATACTTTCTCCCATAAGCTTGTTCCCTTTATTATGGGTAAGCGACGAGAATAAATATGATATTTTATAGTTAAAAATCACAAAAGTAATTCAAACTGTTCCAAGGAGTTAAACAAAATACATTAAATAGATTGTGCCTTATATTTTATATATTATACGTAGTTTACATTCAGATGTATACAATTAATTTTCACCCCCGGGTGGGCTTGAACCACCATCCTTTCGGTTAACAGCCGCACGCGCTAGCCAATCGCGCCACGGGGGCTACCAATCCCAATAAGCTGATAAGATATTCTTAATCCAGAATTTAATATATTACCCTTGTAAGGATTTTAAAACGTTTCTACTTTATGATAGCACTACTACTGTCTACTTTATTTATCAGTTTTTTCTACATTCGGTTACGTAATTTAATAGGACTATTATACTGCTCTGTAAAATAACAAATAATAAACAATATGGAAGTCCTATTAAATTTCGAAACCGAATGTAGAAGAAAACTGATAACTCCGTTATTTGTTATCAGATTTTAACAAACAAAGTCTCATTTGATTTGGATTTAAATTCTCTATATTTTAAAGAAAAAACAATTTTCCTAATATTTATGGTTTTCATTAAATTTGGCATAACAAATTTTAAATGACCGCCTTATTGAAACTGCTTGAGATATTGAAACGAAACTTTGTAAGCTCTTTTTATCTACTAAAATACACATTTATACCAATTTTGAAATTTCTATCTTGAAAAATGCCCCAGATATAAAATAATCCTTAGAAATCACAAACAGAAATCTAGGCATTTTAGACCCATATTTTTATGACATTTTATGTTTGTCTTAGCCCAAGGAACAAGTTCACAAAATATGTCCAGGAAATTTGGAAACACCCTGTAGAATCCGCTAAAACTCGATTTTCTACCTTATTTTTTATGCTGACCAATTTGATGGGTCAAATTATAAACAAATTATTGATGTATTATGCGGTATTAGTATAACTTAGTTAAATTGAGTTTATATAGCTAATAAAACGTCCTTTCACCAGTTTGACTTGGCAAAAAGTTCGTTTATTCAGTGTTTATCGGTATCAACAAAATCTGTTGGTGGATCACCACGATTTTTATTTTTTAAATATTCAACCGCTTTAAAATGGGTATTGAACTTTGTGTCGATAGTCAAAGCTGCGAAACATAAGAGATCCAACTCGAATATCATAAGATTGTTAATAACTAATTATGCCTCGCTTAACTTGTCGCCCTTGTGGTAATAACGAAACTCGTTCGTCATGTCAATTCACAGCCATTAAAGTTTCACCACATGTAACGAAACTAATTATCCAGAAGGCCTTGTCGAAGCTGGTTACAAGTTGGGTCGGTGGTTAGGTTTGTACTTGTAACTTTAACGAGGGTGGTTGGATTTGTCACTGGCGGCTTAAAACCTTCGTCAGCTTCAAAGAGTGCTTGGCCGTCGTCTGCCATTGTTTTCACACATGATATAAATGTTACTGAAAAATTTTTTATGATGCGGTTTAAGCTGTTCTTTTTGTTTATATTCAATTTCAACACAAGTTTTTCTTGATTATGGTTATCAAAAACTATTGCATAAATATTTTATTTACTGTATACTTGTATCGGCACAATGAACATACCAAAAGATATGAAACATCACATTAAAAAAGCAAATTATTAATTAGATTTTTTAGCAAAATTTATTCATTTGTGTATTCGTAAATGTTTATCTTTTATGTGAAATTGCCAACCCTGCATTAAGTAAAAAAGTTATAAACTCATATTTATTTTGATCCTTCCATCATTTTTACCCTCTTGGCCAAACTCTAAAAAAATCGTTATATTTTCAGTGTTTTTTATACATTATGTCATGAGTCAATATAATTTACAAATCACAAACGTTTAAGGAAATACAGTCTTGACATGGTCGAGGCATTTTTTCTCATTTTTTAAGTTTATATACGAGGTATGAGACGGTTTCAAGGGATTCGCGTGGATTCACAAATACGTCCTTAATAAGTAGATACCTAAATTCAATACCTAACTCCAATATTGGGCATCGGCCCTTAATTATTTTTGGGCATAAAACTATGCTTTTCTCTTGTAAGGTGTGGTAAGATGTCCACCTGGTATACTGCAGTGGTGCAGCCAAACGGTATGTCTTAAATTAGCAACAACACGTGACAATTGAACAGGTTATGAACGTAAAAGAAAATTTAGGGACAGAGGAAAAACTCAATGGTACAGTTAAGTGATGTCTAGCATAGTTACTGGTGTCTAGGACAAAGTCCAGCACCACCCTCCTTCGCCCTCATGTGTACTACAGCGCTCACGGTGGAGGAAGACTCCATGTCCTGTTCGAGGAAATTGCCCTAAAATGCTCACCGCTCGAGCTCTTCCTTGCACGTCCAGTCGTCAAAAGTATATTTCTGGCACAACATAAGAGAGTTAAACTAACACGGTCGCCCTATTAGGTGCGTTTCTTCTGTGCCTTACTCAGTCTCTACACTTATATTGTGACATGGACCTTTTAGAAGACAGTTTCATCTAGAATGTAGAGTAACTGCTACAGCCAAACACTATGGCTATAATCATAAATTATCTTCACTCAAAATTAACACCGTTTGTTACAGGTTTCAGTGATCCCTACTGCATGCTGGGTATCCAGCCTGGCATGATGGCGTCACCACAACCGTCTTCCCCCGGCTCTCCTAGTCCAAGAGGAACAAACTCTCGTGCTCTCTCGGAGAGCGGCCTGGAACCATCGGAAAAACATGAGGGCCACCATGAAAAACTACGGAAGCATCACAGGTATGAAGTAAAATCCATAAATCTATGCAGTGTATTGTCCTATAATTCCCTGCCAGACACAACTTTTCATAAACTATTTAACAAATAATTTGTCCATACAGCTTTTCCATTCGGAATTTTCGATATATTATATTAAAAGCTACAGTTTCTGAGAAAATTAAGATTTTTAGGTTTCATTAAGTCACTAAAACGCTACGACTACCAAGGTCTGCAGAATCAATAGAATCTTTCCTAAATTGGAAATACACTTTACCAGAAATAAATCACTAAATCACTCGATATATGCTCATCTAAATAATTCCTCCAAGAGTATGACTTTTTTATTGAAAAAAGCTTGTTCTAAGTATTTTGTTAACTCAACTGTATATTTATTGATTATTACGTATCTAAAATAACTAGCGTATATAAAAGTCACAGAATATATGTATCATCAATGAAAAATAAAATGCATCTACCTAAATGTGTACAGGGATAAAAAATACAGTAAAAGTTAAGATATATTGTTGTACGGTAACCTAAAATAGATTTGTTTTCTCACATGAGCAACCGAAATTAAAACCAACCACATCAATTTCGCATCGTACAAGTTGTTCGGAAAAAAGTTTAAATACAGTAGAAGTAATCCAATGTTCATTATGAAAATGGAAAAGTGAGTTTTGGAACTAACGGAAGTTTGAGGGCACTCATTACCAAACTTTTGGTAACCGAGCTTCAACCGTTTACTCGTTATCAAGATTAAATATCATGAACTGTTTGCAAGTATGAAAATAAATTGTGTTATTCACAAGATAAAATTGACCATCGATTATTATTATTTTATGATACAACACAGATTAGTTCTGTACACTTTTACCCCTTTTTCAGTAAAATAATTAATTAATTAATTAATTGTTTCATACAATATTCTTATTATATGGGCCTACATATCAAATAAGTTTCGGTGAAAATCTTTTCCTGTTTAGGACCCAGACAGCACACTTTCTCCTCAGGACATCCCACGGATATTGCGACAGGATATGCAAGATATCCCATAGTGGTCCTATGGTCAACTTGGGATATCACAGGATATCCACAGGAATGCCTAATGTCCCCGCCCGGGGATGTCCTACGGATAAGCTCACACGCATATCCATGGGACATCCGAGGTCATCCCAGGGTAGTCCTCAGGACATTCTCAGGACATATGGGACTACTATGGGATGTCCCTGGGATAAAGTGTGGTCTGGGCCTGAACATAAAAAACACAAAATAATATAGATTTAGTATGAAAAGCTTAATTATAAGTTTAGTAAATTGATTAAATAGTTAATAAACACAAATTTTGAAGAAAAAAACGAGAAAAAAGTTTTTGGCCCAGACGGGTTTTGAACCTGGTACCTTCGCCTTGTGAGCCTCTTACCTTACCTCCTGAGCTATCTGCGCTTGTTGATTATCGGTGTTTTCAAGTGGTTAAAGAGTAGCCGACAGTTGCAATGGTCGCAATACTTAAAATATTTTTGATACTACAGTATAGGCTATATATGGTTCTGTTAATCTGTTTAGACCTCAAGTAGTTGAATTGTTTTTCTGGTAGTTGGAGAGGATACTGGTATTTGAATATAGATTATTTAATCACCATTAGATTAGCACTGTAATAATTGATTGTTATATGATTAAAATTAGTTTTTTGTTGTTTTATTAATTTAAAGTTATAATTAAATTCACATTTCACACAACTATGATAGAACTCTAGTTTTCCTGAACTCAGTGGTAGTAATATGTCAGTAAAGTAAAGTCAACCCTTGCTAGCCATAATATTAACAAGACATATTTTCAATCTGGGAAACCTTAAACTTTTAAAATAAATTATAAAACCTCAACATCTTAATGCGTGGGAATCTTATTTAAAAAAAAAAAAAAACAGACCAAAATTATTTGTTAAATAATGAAGACGGCCCAATTATAAATTCGGAATTACTGAAAATAATTACATCAAGAACAACACCGTAACATATCCAAAATTCAAAAGATTAATTTTTCTAATATTATTTTTTATTTTTCCAATATCCTTTAAATTATCTGTTTTAACTTTGTTTAAAATTAATTTATTAAGTAAATATTTACTTTTTGTACTAGTGTAAACGCACAGCCTGAAGATGGAAACCAAGTTTCTGAAAGCACCAGTGAAAAAAACAAATTATTATATATTGGCCTTGTTGAACATTTCAATTTAGATATACTGTACATTTCATCAGTGGTAGTATTTTTTTTCTTCAGTTTGTTCCCGGGACATTACGGTACATTACAGGATATCCAGTGGATTTTGTACATGTCCCGGGATGTCATGGGACATTCTGGGATATCCTATGGCATTCGTACATATCCCGGGACTTTACAGGATATCCTGAGGTTAACTTACAAATCCCGGGACATTATGGTATATTGTAGGATATCCTGTGGATTTCGTACTCGTCCCGGGATTTTGCGGGATATCCTGAGGATAGCGCACATATCCCAAGACATTCTCAGGACATATGGGACTACTATGGGATGTCCCTGGGATAAAGTGTGCTGTCTGGGGAAGCATATTCATCCAATTGTTATCATTCTTAACTTGTATATCACTGTACACCCTTATTACAACAAAATATAATAAATTAAAACGACTAGTATTATTAAAATCATGTAAAATGAGTGTATGATTTGCAACGGATTATTACAGCTTTCGTCTGAGTTTTAAAAGGAAAGAGCGAAGAGAACATCGAGACAGCATATCGCAAGCTGTGCCTGCCAAATTTATCAGAGCCACCACTGTCCGACCCCAGACACTTAACCCACGATGGAATGAAAAATTCAGATTGTAAGTTCAATAGGCCTAATTATAAACTTTACAATCAAGAATTCGTCCAAGTAGTGTTTCTGAGCTAAATTTTACAATAAGCAGAGTAGTATTTGAGCGTGAAAAATCTCTGGTATAAAGTATTGGGACGCAAAATGATAATTTGTTTTAAAGTTTTCTTACCTGGTAATGCACCAACGCACTCAAGCCGGACACTTAAACATCAAAATACACACATCAAAACAGGCTTCAGGTTTAAAAAAAAATTATGATTGTACTTGCATTTTCCAAAGTCTATAGTCACGGTCTGTATGGTATACCGTTGTGAAATCATCAGGTTTACATATTTGTTTAAAAATCATAATATAGCACAACGAGAGATGTACATGATCAATGCCAAGATACTCTTTAATCATCCAGATTCTTGTCATTCTTGATACCTGTGGACTATGTTTTATTTATGCCTGTACCTAATGACTTGAACAGCTGGAGCTGACGTACGATAAACAAAAACACTAAACAGCAACAGCACTAACAGCAGACGACATCCGACAAGCCGGGACGATAACGAACCGTCGTGAAGTTAGCGGCTCTTTTCATCGGCGCTTTTTCGGTTTGTAATAGATGTGGGTTGGTACGCCTGCGGACGCCACAAACGTGTTTTGCAGGGATGTCGGAAACACAAATCAATGACAATACGATGCGAAATGATGTTTTTATATTTATATAATGTCAATAATACATTGATAAAACGTGTATACAAGTTAAAACTAATTAATTGACGTATTTTAAAAGGCATATTTAAGACCGTACTGTACATTATACGTAGCTAAGGCTTAACATAACGCGAACAATTAAAACTCCGAACATAAAAAGTGCATAATCTTTTTTCCCAAGCCCATCACATCAACTTTGAGCTATTCTAATGGTAATACACAATGTGTAGAATACTCAGTATAAATATGATTGAGGCAGTCCAGTGAATTACGAAGCTATAAGGCAAAATCTATATGGTTGATAGGAACTCGCATCAGGAAAAAGTGCACAATCTTTTTCCTAAGCCCATCACATCAACTTTGATGTATTCTAATGGTAATATACAATGTGTAGAATACTTAGTATACATATGATAGAGGCAGTCCAGTGAATTACGAAGCTATATGGCAAAATGTATATGGTTGATAGGAACTCGCATCAGGAAAAGTGCACAATAATTTTCCTAAGCCCATCACATCAACTTTGATGTATTCTATTGGTAATATACAATATGTAGAATACTCAGTATAAATATGATTGAGGCAGTCCAGTGAATTACGAAGCTATAAGACAAAATCTATATGGTTGATAAGAATTTGCGTCAGGAAAAGTGCACAATCTTTTTCCTAAGCCCATCACATCAACTTTGAGGTATTCTAATGGTAATATACAATGTTTAGAATAATGAGTATGAGTATGATTGCGGCAGTCCAGTGAATTACGAAGTTATATGGCAAAATCTATATGGTTGATAGGAATTTGCGTAAGGAAAAGTGCACAATCTTTTTCCTAAGCCCATCACATCAACTTTGAGGTATTCTAATGCTAATATACAATGTTTAGAATAATCAGTATGAGTATGATTGCGGCAGTCCAGTGAATTACGAAGCTATAAGGCAAAATCTATATGGTTGATAGGAATTTGCGTCAGGAAAAGTGCACAATCTTTTTCCTAAGCCCTTCACATAAACTTTGAGGTATTCTAATGGTAATATACAATGTTTAGAATAATCAGTATGAGTATGATTGCGGCAGTCCAGTGAATTACGAAGTTATATGGCAAAATGTATATGGTTGATAGGAACTCGCATCAGGAAAAGTGCACAATCTTTTTCCTAAGCCCATCACATCAACTTTGAGGTATTCTAATGCTAATATACAATGTATAGAATAATCAGTATGAGTATTATTGCGGCAGTCCAGTGAATTACGAAGCTATAAGGCAAAATCTATATGGTTGATAGAAATTTGCGTCAGGAAAAGTGCACAATCTTTTTCCTAAGCCCATCACATCAACTTTGAGGTATTCTAATGGTAATATACAATGTTTAGAATAATCAGTATGAGTATGAATGCGGCAGTCCAGTCAATTATGAAGTTATATGGCAAAATCTATATGGTTGATAGGAATTTGCGTCAGGAAAAGTGCACAATCTTTTTCCTAAGCCCATCACATCAACTTTGAGGTATTCTAATGCTAATATACAATGTATAGAATAATCAGTATGAGTATAATTGCGGCAGTCCTGTGAATTACGAAGATATAAGGCAAAATCTATATGGTTTATAGGAATTTGCGTCAGGAAAAGTGCACAATCTTTTTCCTAAGCCCATCACATCAACTTTGAGGTATTCTAATGGTAATATACAATGTTTAGAATAATCATTATGAGTATGATTGCGGCAGTCCCGTAAATTACGAAGTTATATGGCAAAATGTATATGGTTGATAGGAACTCGCATCAGGAAAAGTGCACAATCTTTTTCCTAAGCCCATCACATCAACTTTGATGTATTCTAATGCTAATATACAATGTATAGAATAATCAGTATGAGTATGATTGCGGCAGTCCAGTGAATTACGAAGCTATAAGGCAAAATCTATATGGTTGATAAGAATTTGCGTCAGGAAAAGTGCACAATCTTTTTCCTAAGCCCATCACATCAACTTTGAGGTATTCTAATAGTAATATACAATGTTTAGAATAATCAGTATGAGTATGATTGCGGCAGTCCAGTGAATTACGAAGTTATATGGCAAAATGTATATGGTTGATAGGAACTCGCATCAGGAAAAGTGCACAATCTTTTTCCTAAGCCCATCACATCAACTTTGAGGTATTCTAATGCTAATATACAATGTATAGAATAATCAGTATGAGTATGATTGCGGCAGTCCAGTGAATTACGAAGCTATAAGGAAAAATCTATATGTTTGATAGGAATTTGCGTCTGGAAAAGTGCACAATCTTTTTCCTAAGCCCATCACATCAACTTTGAGGTATTCTAATGGTAATATACAATGTTTAGAATAATCAGTATGAGTATGATTGCGGCAGTCCAGTGAATTACGAAGTTATATGGCAAAATGTATATGGTTGATAGGAACTCGCATCAGGAAAAAGTGCACAACCTTTTTCCTAAGTCCATCACATCAACTTTGAGGTATTTTAATGTTAATATACAATGTGTAGAATAATCAGTATGAGTGTGATTGAGGCAGTCCCCTAAATTACCAAGTTATATGGCAAAATGTATATGGTTGATAGGAACTTGCAACAAATAAGAATGCATTATATTTTTTCTATGCACATCACAACAACTTTGAGCTATTCCAATTGTAAAATAAATCGTATATATAATATTTATGAATATGATTGAGGCAATCAAGTCAATTATCTGTGGAGAAATCTGAGGTATAATCTGAGGAGAGGTAACCTTAACGAAAGGGAAACAAAATGAAACTGCTTTTTCAAAAAGATAAAAATTTAAATAAGCTATTTTATTTACTTTATAAACATATCGTGTATGAAAATAATCTATTTACACAACCTTAAACTATAATCGTAAGCAAAACATGTTGGAAAACATAATGATAAAAAACAACTAACTAGAATAATATCTAATTTGTTCCATTATACTGTAATGTTTTACCGAAACTCTGATCCATGATTCCTCTGGATCAAATAATTTCATTTGTAGTTTTAGATTTTAGTCTAGGTGTCCGAATTTATTGTGCCGATTAGCTTATAGACTTTTCATCCTATTGTAAAACGATTTTTTTATGTTTGTTTCAAGACGTTAGTGTCACTGTACGCTTAAGTCGACAATGTATTATTTTATTTTTCTGTGTGAGTTTTATTTTTCTTAATCAATGTTTTAAGTAGTATAACTGAAGTAACAAGATACCCCAGCCACAGAAAACCAGCGGAATAAGTGAATTTCTATTTGCTCGATTGGATTTTCATCAAAATATCTCCTTAAATAGTCATGTTTATTCCGAAGTTAAATAATAACCTAAGTTTAATGAGTTATCACGCGAGTTGCTACAACGAAGGGTAATTTTTTTTGTAAAATGTTAATAGATTATTACTAAATAAATTTATTTGCCAAATTTTATACAAATGTGTTCATAAATAAGCAAACTGCAACGGTTTAATTATTGTATGTAGGTAATGTATAAATAACATGGAAATTTAAATTTTGCATGTTTTTTATAAATGTTTTTTTTTTAACTTTAAGCCTTAGCAACTATTCAACATAATAAATGATTTGTTTTTAAGACATTAAAAATGGGTTGAAAAGAATTTTATATAAAATTTGTATTACTTCAAAATTTAATAGATACGTTATATAAGGTAATAAAGACGATTCTTTTTTTAAAAAATTCTGTCAAATCAGTGGAGATAGATATCGAAGTTTAAATAGATTTCAACTGTAAACACCATAGCCGGCCTTGGATGGTGCAAACAAAAAAATTGATGATAAAATAATTCCCCCTTTTAATTTTTTATAATTAACATAAATATTGTAAAATTTTAATACTTTTAAATTATTCTGTATTTTATACCCAATGTGTGGGCATTGTACCTAAGGCCGGCTCTGATGAACACACGACTAACACAAAAGGAGACTAAAATATTCAAGAAAAACCAATACCTAATACTATGAACACTGTATTGGACAGGAAATGTTCTTTGGAGTTTTACGACTGACATAAACAGGTCATAAAATCTACTAACTGAACAAGCTAACAAACCTTATACTAGTGGAAGATCTCAATAAATTACTGGAAAACAGTTAATAGGATACTGATTATTGATTATTCCATAGCCATGATAATGGATCTAATGCACACACAAAACAATCTATCTATTACTTATTTAATACGCAAGCAGGTTTTTTGTGACAATTACTCCTCTGAAACTACTGAACCGATTGACATGTTTTTGGTGTCATTGGAAAGAGGGTAACGTGAAGTTGTGCAGGAAACTTTCATTTTAGGGAAATAATGAGAGATTGAGGCCCTGGAGCCCTTTAAAGTTTCGTATTTCTCCATAAGGATAACATGGGAGATAATTTTTATTTACAGAAACATATGTTTGTTAAATAGTCAAAGTCTACTACATAATAATTTCTGTGTATTATGACTCTTAATGTATACCTACTACATTTCAATCAAGGATTGTGTACCTTAAAGTTTACCCATAATGGATCTTACTACTTTATTTTAATGCTGGGAATAGTAAAATTTAGTGGAGAATAAGTTACCATGATTTAGAAAACTTTACTATAATAATTTATGTATTTAAATCACAAATCTTTGACATTATTAATTCATTTGAAACTAAACAGCTGATCGACAAATCAAACAAATCGTCTACTTCATGTGAATAATTTTACTACACAAACATAGTTTTTTTTTAAACCTTGATTCTTTTTTACTTGTGGGTGTATTTTGAGTTTGCAGTTATGAAAGCACCAAGCCAAGTAACTTTTTCTATCTATCTATATACTTATTTAATACGCAAGCGGGTTTTTTGTGACAATTACTCCTCCGAAACTACTGAACCGATTGACATGATTTGGTGTCATTGGAAAGAGCGTAACGTGAAGTTGTGCAGGAAACCTTCTTTTTATGGAAACGATTAGAGAGTGAGGCCCTGTGGCCCTATAAAGTTTCGTATTTCTCCATAAGATTAGCATGGGAAACACAAATTGTTATTAAACTCCAGCTGTTGTCAGAAATTAAAAGTGAGAAGAAGATGTTAATTGTATACAGTAAATAAGTTTGCTAATATAACAGTTTACTACAAACATTTACTAACTTGGTTTAAATGAAATATTTACTATTTTAATTTTTGTAGGCGTAAATATTATAATGGAAAAAAATGAGAGAGCCTGGATAATTAGATATACTAAAAAGAATTAACACTGTTCTGTATTTCTTAGTAATCATTGAAAGAGCCGATTTGCAAACTATGGAAACATAATTTGAGTTGTTTTTGTCTCTGGATCACAGAACAAACTATAAAAGGTATAAAATTACCTGAGGATCACTCTGGCAGTACTCAGGTAATTTTATACCTTTTATAGTATGGAAACATAGGAAAGTCATAGAACGCCAACAAGGAGAATTTGTAAAAAACACAAAAAATATGGTCAGCTTTTGAAAAACAATATATTTACTAGACATTTTGATTATATCAATCTGTTATGTACATCTTGAGTGTTTCCATCATCTTTGAGTTGAATCGTTTAAAGTAATCAGAAATTATGACCGTAATTCGTTTTAAAATAACGCCTGTTTTAATTGCCTGTAATGCTGTAATTGCTCGAATTCGAGCAACAGGTACACTAGTACTTATTTAATACGCAAGCAGGATTTTTGTGACAATTACTCCTCCGAAACTACTAAACCGATTGACATGTTTTTGGTGTCATTGGAAAGAGCGTAACGTGAAGTTGTGCAGGAAACTTTCTTTTTAGGAAAATAATTAGATAGTGAGGCCCTGAGGTCCTTTAAAGTTTCGTATTCCTCCATAAGATTAACATGGGAAACAAACATTGTTATGAAACTCCAGCTGTTGTCAGATATGAAAAGTGAGAAGAAGAACATAATAATGTTAATTGTAAACAGTCAATAGGTTTGCTAATTTGACAGTTTGCTACAAACATTTACTTACTTGGTTAAAATTAAATATTTACTAAGTATTTGAATTTGGGTTGGCGTAAATATTAAAATGGTCAAAAGCGATAGGGCCTGGATAATTTGATATACTAAATACCCCCGCCGCAGCAAACCTGCAGACTAAGCGAATTTCCATTTGACTGTTTGGATTTACACTGAAATGTCTACTTAAAAATATAACATTTATTCCCGATTTAAATAGAATTAGTTTAACAAGTACTTAGGTTTGCTGCATCAGGGAGGGTAAAACTGTTTTTTTTTGTAAAATGTTAATAGTTAGTAAGAAATAAAAACATTTTCCAAATTTGATCAAAATATGTTCATAAACAAGCAAACTACAACAGTTTACTCATTCTCCATAAGAATAACATGGGAATTTTAAATTTACAATTTTTTTGAATTTTCTCCGTAACCATTAGGAGCATAATAACGCTTCAATATACTAAATTATTTGTTTTTTGAAGCTCTAAAAAATGGTTTGGAAATAAATTGCTAAATTTTATGTTTTTTGGGTCAAAAATGGGAAAAACCTATTTTACCCCATAAAACCCCCCGTAAACACCCGTTCCCATGGTCCGATCATGCTGGATCGCGAACTCGTTCGAATAAACGTAGGTTTACACGTTTGTACCAAATTTCATCAAAATCGGATCATTTTTGCTCGAGTTCTCGTGCTGACGGACACACACACACACATATATATATATATATATATATATATATATGAATTTGAACTGATGGTGTTTTTGGCCTCTAGGGACCTCAAAACGAAAAAAAAAAATCGGTCCCGCGTCCAGGTCTTACCATGAGTACTACGGTAATAGCTTATTCCCTATATGGGAAATTCGCTAAAAGAAAACTGAATCAACACTATGCTGCATTTCTAAGTTATCATTGGAAGAGCCGATTTGCAAACTATGGAAACATAGGAAAGTCATAGATCACCACCAAGGAGAAGAAATAGAAATATTTTTTTGTTTTGAATTTATAATCGTTATTTTGGACATAGACTAACCAACTAACTAAGGGAGTATGTTTTATCTATGTTTTGGACGACCTAATGCGGCTATAAGTAAGGCTATTTGTAGAAAACACTAAAAAACAAGATCAGCTTTTAAAAAATTATAAGATATATAAAAGAAATGTTGATTATATTGATCTGTTTTGTACATCTTGAGTATTTACATAATCTTTAAGTCGAATCTTTTTTTAAAGTCATAAATTATAACTATTATTTGTTTTAAAATAACGCCTGTGCTGTAATACTTAGCAATTGCTCGAATTCAAGAAACAGATACACTAGTTAACATTAACAAGGCGTAGTAAGTATCTAGAAAACTGAGTTATATCGGAATTTTGGTAGGAACAGGAAGCCGGGTCCAGGCTGATTGCGAGTTTCTCGTTGTGTGTGTGGTGACTGTGACTGTATATGGCTGTGTAGGTATGTTGCCATGCCAACCGCCACGAGCCACGTGGACGTACAGTAGTTCAAACATGAACCAGTAGAGCGCGGCCCAGATCAGTCAGTCAGTGGCATGGCAATGGCAATATTTAAAAATATTATCCAACGGTCGTTTCAGAGCGATCTGTTGTGTTCTTGTTCTAATGTTCCATTGTGGGTGACTGAATCAAAGTCAAAATTATTTATTCCATAAAATAAAAAACAATATTACAATACATTGTAAGTAAAAAACAACAAACAGAATCACTGAATTGATCACTAACGTTGGCCAGGGTGCTATCGCAGCATTCAACATTCAACCTTCACCCAAAAATGGTAGACAACAATTTCATTATTGAACCGTATGTTGTCGCCTTAAAAGCATGTATTGCTTGTAATGATTGGTAAGGATATATTTTGTATCCCGTTTCCAGTGATATGGGATACAAAATATGTCCTTACCAATAAAAGATATTAAAATAAAAATTAAACATAAAATTGGTCAGTCACCGTGTTGTTTATGATGTATTGAACTACTTTGAGATAAGTTCAATTCTTGATAAACTACTTGATTTTGATTTTTCATATACAGTAGTATCAATACTGAAGTTTACACATAGTACATTGAATTATATTTCAGTAACTTATTCCATATATATCAATATTTCCAAACGCAGCCTATTGCTACCGGCAAAAGTTACGTTGGCATTGTTTTCGTCAAAACCTTTTAAGTTAGTTTATATATTAATTACTATTCTGAATCCTGAGCCCTAAACGTGGTTTATATACGAAGTGATGTTGGTGTTCACTAACCTAAATAAAACGACTTGATTGAATTTAAATAAATGAATTAGTTTTGTTTTTATTTGATTACAGTTAAATACGAGTTTGATCGTACAGAGACTGGACAAATGTATTCAAATTGGGAAATCCGACAAATATTCTATTATTTTGTCATGATTGCAAAAACTGTAGTGACGAATAAATCAATGTGAATTTATATTTATAACCTTGTTACCGACCTCTTCTGATGGACTGAGAGCTAAGGAGGTCGTCTTTGAAAAACGCCGAAATATGTCTGGGGTTGTAAATTCTTGGCTAGCAGCTACGAAGGTCAACGAACGTCAAAGAGATGCCGCTGTCTCGGGTTTTCCTTAAGGGTTGGTTGTTAACAGGTGTTCGCACGGTGACACTATAGGGAGAGAAAGTAGGGACGGGAGCGAAACCATGTCGGTCAGCGCTAGATCAAAGCTGTGAGACGGCCCCGTCAGCCCATGTATTTCATACTTTTTTTGTAGTCTCGGGGAGAAATTCCAAGCCGGGCGTGGCGCCGTTTTCAATTTCAACACTTCCTTATGAAGCCCCTGACCTTGGTTGAATTAAATCTTTTTTCCCTACGCTAAGTTTGTTAGTTTATGGTAATATGTTATAAACAACAGACGAATAAGACGTTATACCATAATAATATTATGATGGACTACCATTAGACATTTAAGGCTTCCTTGAGTAAAGTAAACTCACTTACTTACCTCAATGAACCACACGATCACAGGCAAGAGGATAGATGTATGGGTATTCATCTATCCTATCGCCTGTGATCGTGTGGTTAGAGCATGATTATTGAATAGTTAGGTCAACCATATACATTTTGCCAGATAACTTCGTAATTTACTGGACTGCCTCAATCATATTTATACTGAGTATTCTACACATTGTATATTACCATTAGAATAGCTCAAAGTTGATGTGATGGGCTTGGGAAAAAAAGATTATGCACTTTTATGTTCGGAGTTTTAATTGATCGCGTTATGTTAAGCCATTGCTACGTATAATGTACACTACGGTCTCGAATTGGCCTTTTAAAATACGTCAATTAATTAGTTTTAACTTGTATACACGTTTTATCAATGTATAATTGACATTATATAAATATAAAAACATCATTTCGCACCGTATTGTCATTGAATTGTGTTTCCGACATCCCTGCAAAACACGTTTGTGGCGTCCGCAGGCGTACCAACCCACATCTATTACAAACCGAAACTTTTCCTGACGCAAATTCTATAAACCATATAGATTTTGCCTTATAGCTTCGTAATTCACTGGACTGCCGCAATCATACTCATACTGATTATTCTATACATTGTATATTAGCATTAGAATACCTCAAAGTTGATGTGATGGGCTTAGGAAAAAGATTGTGCACTTTTCCTGATGCGAGTTCCTATCAACCATATACACTTTGCCTTATAGCTTCGTAAATCACTGGACTGCCTCAATCATATTTATACTGAGTATTCTACACATTGTATATTACCATTAAAATACCTCAAAGTTGATGTGATGGGCTGAGGAAAAAGATTGTGCACTTTTCCTGATGCGAGTTCCTATCAACCATATACATTTTGCCATATAACTTCGTAATATACTGGACTGCCGCAATCATACTCATACTGATTATTCTACACATTGTATATTACCATTATAATACCTCAAAGTTTATGTGATGGGCTCAGGAAAAAGATTGTGCACTTTTCCTAATGCGAGTTCCTATCAACCATATACACTTTGCCTTATAGCTTCGTAAATCACTGGACTGCCTCAATCATATTTATACTGAGTATTCTACACATTGTATATTACCATTAAAATACCTCAAAGTTGATGTGATGGGCTGAGGAAAAAGATTGTGCACTTTTCCTGATGCGAGTTCCTATCAACCATATACATTTTGCCATATAACTTCGTAATATACTGGACTGCCGCAATCATACTCATACTGATTATTCTACACATTGTATATTACCATTATAATACCTCAAAGTTTATGTGATGGGCTCAGGAAAAAGATTATGCACTTTTCCTGATGCGAGTTCCTATCAACTATATACATTTTGCCATATAACTTCGTAATTTACTGGACTGCCGCAATCATACTCATACTGATTATTCTACACATTGTATATTACCATTAGAATACCTCAAAGTTGATGTGATGGGCTTAGGAAAAAGATTGTGCACTTTTCCTGACGCAAATTTCTATCAACCATATAGATTTTGCCTTATAGCTTCGTAATTCACAGGACTGCCTCAATCATACTCATACTGATTATTCTACACATTGTATATTACCATTAGAATACCTCAAAGTTGATGTGATGGGCTCAGGAAAAAGATTGTGCACTTTTCCTGATGCGAGTTCCTATCAACCATATACATTTTGCCATATAACTTCGTAATTTACTGGACTGCCGCAATCATACTCATACTGATTATTCTACACATTGTATATTACCATTAGAATATCTCAAAGTTGATGTGATGGGCTTAGGAAAAAGATTGTGCACTTTTCCTGATGCGAGTTCCTATCAACTATATACATTTTGCCATATAACTTCGTAATTTACTGGACTGCCGCAATCATACTCATACTGATTATTCTACACATTGTATATTACCATTAGAATACCTCAAAGTTGATGTGATGGGCTCAGGAAAAAGATTGTGCACTTTTCCTGATGCGAGTTCCTATCAACCATATACATTTTGCCATATAACTTCGTAATTTACTGGACTGTCGCAATCATACTCATACTGATTATTCTACACATTGTATATTACCATTAGAATACCTCAAAGTTGATGTGATGGGCTTAGGAAAAAGATTGTGCACTTTTTCTGACGCAAATTCCTATCAACCATATAGATTTTGCCTTATAGCTTCGTAATTCACTGGACTGCCTCAATCATATATATACTGAGTATTCTACACATTGTATATTACCATTAGAATACATCAAGGTTGAAGTGATGGACTAAGGAAAAAGATTGTGCACTTTTTCCTGATGCGAGTTCCTATCAACCATAACTTATAGATTTTGCCTTATAGCTTCGTAATTCACTGGACTGCCTCAATCATATTTATACTGAGTATTCCACACATTGTACATTACCATTAGAATACCTCAATGTTGATGTGATGGGCTTAGGAAAAAGATTGTGAATAGTTAGGTCAACCATATACATTTTGCCAGATAACTTCGTAATTTACTGGACTGCCTCAATCATATTTATACTGAGTATTCTACACATTGTATATTACCATTAGAATAGATCAAAGTTGATGTGATGGGCTTGGGAAAAAAAGATTATGCACTTTTATGTTCGGAGTTTTAATTGATCGCGTTATGTTAAGCCATTGCTACGTATAATGTACACTACGGTCTCAAATTGGCCTTTTAAAATGCGTCAATTAATTAGTTTTAACTTGTATACACGTTTTATCAATGTATAATTGACATTATATAAATATAAAAACATCATTTCGCACCGTATTGTCATTGAATTGTGTTTCCGACATCCCTGCAAAACACGTTTGTGGCGTCCGCAGGAGTACCAACCCACATCTATTACAAACCGAAAAAGCGCCGATGAAAAGAGCCGCTAACTTCACGACGGTCGATAACGATAGGAGTTTTGCAATTGTAGACATTTATTATTTTACTAAAAAACCAAATTTAACTATTTATTTATCAACTGACTCAGGCAGTAGAGAATAATTTGATTACTAGGTCTATCCTGTCAAAGCAACCTAATAGTTTTGACTATTTGGCCTAACCACAGTTCTATACAAGACAGGTCTGTAAATGTGTGACTCTTATCATCGTACCATGGATGGAAATAAGAAATTTGACATATTCTTCAATAGGCCTAGTTCAGTCCTAGCTAGACCATTTAGCTCAAGACCAAAAACAATTCCTGCACACCAGGTTGTGAATTCTGAATTATGTAAGTTGATTTACCTAGCATTGCCTTTACATTAACCGCTAATTTTCCTGGACAGTTTATATGTTAAGTTAAACTAAACAGTACGCCTACTGCTACTTAGGTTACCTTATCTGAACTTTACCTTTCGCAAAATCTTCAGGTTAAACATCTTCTCCATCCTGATAATCCTCATAACTTAGTCTGTTCCGTAATAGGGCAATAGAGCTTATTGTTATAAGGGCCTCTATAGAGGCTTAGTGTTGGTCTTATACAAACGACGCACGTATATGTTTTCCGAATTTATGTTTTATTTAACTTTTCCTTTATGACCAAGGTAGGGTAGCTAATTTTATTCCATCCAGTCAAACTTGACTATCTTACTATTCTTACTCCATAGGTAACTTAACATATTGTTAGGCTATTCATTATAGCTTATTAAAATAGGCCTAGACAAAAGTTGGAGATACTACTGGGTAGCCCTGTATAGTATTTAGCCAATAAGTTAGTGCCTGTTACTTCAGCTATCGGTTTGAGGCTAAGCAAAATGTTCACTATCTTAGAGGGCTGTTCAAATCACACATCTTCCCAAAATCGTTTAGGTGAATACTACGGCTTCAGGGTAATAAATTACATAACATACCGTACACGTAACATAGGTAAGGTAAAGCCTTCTGCGTACACACAAAAGAGTTCTTGAATGCCATGTCAACTCGGCCACTTAATTTATGAAGATTACAAGATGTAGTCTATAATTCCTGTATAATTAGGTCTATATAATTAGACTATGTCTATTAATTAGGTCTATTAAGCTACTGAACGTTTTCACTAAGCGATCAAAAAGTAAATTTTGATTAAAGAATCTTAACAAAATTTGTTAGAGAACAAAATAGAATACTTCAATAATGCTGTATCAAGTGAGAAAATTATCTACGATGGGGTTAGGCATATGGTGCAATTTGAAAACGACATTGATTTGGTGTAGGTTGGCTTACACAGTAAGTTAAGTTAAATGTGTGAGCATGAACGACAAACTAAGGCAGAAACGAAATATGTGTTAAAGTTATGTTGGCCTAACTTAACCAATGTAACAACCGTTCACTGTTTGCTAACTTGCAAACAATATATGACCTTCCATGATTATGCCTACCATGTTCTTATAATCTCACTAGATCAGGGATGATAGTATTACAGTTTACCTTCATCAAACCAGTCTAATTGGGGTCCAAAGTTGTCTGGTTGTGAATGATATTCGGTTTTAAAGGAATTCATCTTACTATGGCAGTGTTATTCCAAGGTAATTTGGTTAAATTTTCTTAATAACGAATAACCATATTTGGTTATTTGTTATTAAGAAAATTTATGCCGAGTATATTACATATTTACTTAAGACGAGTAATTTAATCGAGTATACTCAATATAAATGGGCTCACAAACAGTAACTTATCTATGCGCTATACTGTAGCTGCATATCTTACCGTGAGACTCTCTTTACTTGGATTCATAAAGTTTTCATAAACTGCTCTCATAGCTCTTCATAGCTGCCCTAATCAAACAAATTCTGAATTACCGTAATGAGTATTTCCAGTAAGTAGGCCTACTTAACCCCATTGTGAAAATTGTAGATAGGCCTAACTCATTGACGAACTTGGTACCGTAACAATGTGATCAACTACATTAGGCTACTTTACCATAAAAATTATTATTAACCTTATCCAGTTTTAAAGCTAACTTAACTTAATGGAATTTAAGTTAAATCCATAAACTTGCAGACAAAGACGAGCCTTTCTTATTGTCAGGAAATTCAACAAATTCATTTTTGTGCATTGAATTTGTAATTATAGATGTCCATCTAATTCTCTTCTATCTACTAGGAAATTATGAAAAGTTCATGACGTTTCAAGAAATCTCAAACAAGCGAATAAGTTAAGAGAGACGAGCAAACCATACAATCAATTGAATACCCACTGATGATATTGAATTAGGACATAATACTCTTGAGTGAAAAGGTTTTGTAACCACTTTGATACAAAATAAACTCTTAATTACTGCAAACATTTTATAGCCACAGAGAAAATGCAATTCTAGAAATGCAATCATAAAACTGCATATCTTGGCTCCAATTTATTTCTAGAATTATCTTCTCACATAATAAGTTATGTAATTGTTTTCATTTCAGCGATATTGATGATGTGGCTACAGACATTCTCCATCTAGATATTTGGTAAGTTGATGCTAGTTATTAAAAAATTATTGTTAACCGTTTTTTTTAGTAAGTAGGTAACTTAAACAGTTTGTATTTGTAAGTTTGAATAATATTTTAAAGGTGGGTGTTGCTACTATCTTAATGTGGATATTAATTGTTAAAATATTTACGCACCTGCCGTCACTAGTATTGCGGTTGGGTTATTAAACGCTTCTCTAGTGCAAGAAATTAAAAAAGATGAAGAAAGACCTCCTGCCATGACTTTGCTGCTTGTCTGGAGTCACATTGTAGATTTTGACCAAAACTTCAATAGTAGTGTTGCAAATTACGTTAGCATACCTTCTGATGTATAGTATCTGTTCTGTATTTCACCAGAACTGTTATATGATAAATTTTATTTGGAAGCTTCATAATATTTTTCAACAATGAGCTAGGATTTATGAGTAAAAAAGTTGGTTACTCTATGGTCCTTTAATTTTGTAATTGAAATATAACTTTTAATACCTAGTTTCCTTATAAACTTAACAACACACTTTTCTACCAATTTTATGAACTTTTCTTACTCCTAATGAGTTGATAAACTATTCTAACCAAGTTTTGATAAGTTGCTGATTCAATGGGACCATCAACTGTTTCAGAAATTAATTAAAACCCCCTAACAGGCTTTGAAGTGGATGTGAATCAGATTATAATGAGTTTCCAAACAAAGAGATTTCCGCTCAAAAAATTAACAAGCGATTGCATACTTTATTCATAAATTCATTATAATAGCAGCAACTGAATGAGGTTTAATGGCTACTTCAATCTGCTCAGCCAAATCCGTAATGAACAATGTTTTGTCAGCCAATATTGTTTGAGCCGTTGAACAAACAAGTTTGAGTTTGCGCTGATCTTTTATGGTTTTTAATTATTAGTGTTTTCTCAAATAAATTGTGACATTTACTTTGGTAAACGATTAATATTGATTAAATGTTTAATGTGTTCATGTACGTACAAGTACAATTATTAATACCTGGACAAAATATCTCTTTCCGTGTGTTTAAATGAGTTAGCTTTTGAGCCTCCTGTACATTTTCAAAGGCTGTGTAGTCTTTTGGTAAGTTACAAACCTTAAGACCAAAAATGCTATGTTATTTAAATAATAGGCCTAATAATTATTAGTGTACTGAGTAAAACTTATATTAGGGATTTTATCATTAAATTAGGAATGTGACTATGCAGCAATTCTCTAGGATATTCATTGTGACCCTTGGTTGGAATATATTATTGATAAAATAAAAGGATTAGGCCTACCTTATCCAACCACAGTTGCTGTTATGACAACTAACAAAGTTCAAAAGTTTTTCCACGCCAAACCTGTTGCCACAAACAACTATGAAAAATCAGGCATCTATAAAATTAACTGTGACAACTGTCCAAAGTACTACATCGGCTAAACTGGAAGATCTTTCAGACAAAGATTTAAAGAACATATATGGTACCTACCTAAAAGATCACAACATCAGCAATCCAGTTATGCCAAACATTTAATATCGGAATCACACAACTACACATCTATTGATAAGAAGAAGTATTGCCAACAAGTCTTAAGCTTGATGCTAAAGAAGAATTCACCATCTACATAGCTAAAAAACTCGAGCCATTTAACATTTTAAAGTATCAGACTTCTTTCCAGTCAAATATTATATTTTATACATTTGACAAGCTACAAATCAAAGAAGTATTAAATAAGAAAAACAAAACAAACTGAAATACAGGTGGCACTGGAGAGAAGAAGACACCTTATGGATTCAGTCAGTTTTGTTTAGTCAGTGACAGTGAGAAGACAGTGCTGGCCAGCCTTTACAGTTTTAACCAGTTTTATCACTTTCTATTCGATTTTAATAATTTTATTTTACTATTGTGATTGTGACAGTGTTTTAAAGAATCTTTTGACATACCACAATGTATTAATACATTGATGATGTGTTTGCATACAATGACCTGACCAAGTTCTAAGGAACGAAAATAGTTGTCATACCAGCAACTGTGGTTGGATAAGGTAATCCTTTTATTTTATCAATAATTCTCTAGGCTAAAGAAACATCAGAACATAAACAATAAAAAACAACTACAAAGTGCAATACCTACGTTCTTTGGTGTAGTGAGGAGTGATCGCGTAGTAACGGCGTTCCCTGTGCTTATTCCTAAGAACCTATATTGGTAATCAACCTGCATTTTCCCACCACATGGTGAACGTCCTCTCACTGAAAAATTTACGACTACATCACTGATAACAATCCGTTCTCCACTAATTTAAAAGCAAACTTCATTCAAATTAAATTACCCAGCATTGTGTCCATAGCCAATGATAATGACAACGATCATGTGGAATTCCAGGGATCACGATGACGAGTCTAGCGTGCTAGACGCGGTGAGCAAGCTCAATGAAGTACGGGGTGTGAAAGGTCTGGGTCGATTCTTCAAACAAATCGCTCAGAGTGCTCGCACTGGCAGTACGGATGACTTCCTCGGCTGTGTTAATGTGCCTGTACAAGTAAGTACCGTTAGAGTTTGTCAGTTTTGTGTCTGTGGTTGGCTACAAATAGGTTTATGTACTTAAGGCCTCTCTATACAAAAGAGTTTGGAAATGTGGTGTGAAGTACAGTAGACTCACTCTAGTTCGGCCACCTCGTGATGGGACCACTGGCCGGACTACAAAATGGCCGGACTAACTGGATGTATTATGAAAGGTTGATAAATATTCCTATCAAATTAGTTACAAACACTTACAAATCAACGAATAGCATTAAAAGTCTTTTACGACATTATTTACCAAAATTAAGCTTCTAAGCTTCTAACGTCTCTTTCTAGAGTCGTCTTGTTTCCACTTATAGATACCTATTTACAACACCTGACTGATTGGCCCCTATCAAGTCACTTTAGAATGAAGAGGGACATATGTTTGTTTTCACTAGAGATGTGTCCAATCCGAATCTCTAATCTACCGAATCCTAAGAAATGATGTTGTTCAAAGGTTTATTGTATAAATTTTTCATCACGAATGTAAAAAACAATACACAACGTTTCGGGATCTGGAATCTGATCCCGTCCTCAGGTGAAAAAATCTGAACTAACACATTACAACTAAACACCAACACCCAACCTAAGTTGGAATACACTACAGAGGGTAGCAGTCAAAAAATATGCACTGTATAGCAGTCAAGTCATGATACAACATGCAAATAATAACCAATCACAAAACACTATAATCTACAAAAGGTGTAACGGAAAAAGCTCACACAATGGAACACTAATTGCACCGTTCGCAATGACTCCACCAATGAGACTGAAGCAGCATGGCCGACCAATCAGAAACACGGAGACAACAGAAATGGCTTCCGGTCCCTGGAAAAGTAAAGAAAGAAAAGAAGGTCCTAAGAAAAGATTCAGATTCAAGATTAGTTAACAAGATTTAAGGATTTAAAAAATTCTTTTTTAGCGAATTTCCCTAAAGGGAAGTAGCTATTTAGCGAATTTCCCTAAAGGGAAGTAGCTATTACCGTAGGTGGCACGGTAAAACCTAAGCCCGGGACCGATTTACTTTTTCATTTTTATGTCCCCAGAGGCCAAAAACACCATTCGTTCAAATTTTTATATATGTATATATATATATATATATAGATTTATATATATATGTGTCCATGAACGCGATAACTTTAGTAATTTTTGTCCGATTTTGATGAAATTTGGTTTAAAGGTGTAAGGCGGGATAAACTTGAATGAGTTCGCGAACCAGCATGATCGGACCATGGGAAAGGGGTTTCCCGGTGGGTTTTGTGGGCCAAAAATTGGTTTTTCTCATTTTTGACCCCCAAAACACAAAATTTTCCAATTTATCTCTAGACCATATTAAAGAGCTTAAAAAAACAAATAATTTAGTATGTCAAAGTGTCTTTGTACGGTTATTAGTAACGGAGAAAATTCAAAAAATTGTAAATTAAAAATTCCCATGTTATTCTTATGGAGAATATTGAAAATGTTGTAGTTTGTTTGTTTATGGATATATTTTGATCAAACTAGACAAATTTATTTTTTTTATACTAAGCTATTAATATTTTACTAAAACACACTTTATTAGTTTCAGTTTCCTTGTGGCAGCAAACCTAGGTACTCGTTAAACCTAAATAGATTCAATTGAAAATCATTCAGAGAAATGGAAATTCGCTTAGTCGGCAGGTTTGCTGCGGCGGGGGTATTTTACAATAGAAGGCATGTGCACTATACTGTGACATTGCCAAATCATAGAGGTTATTGATGTCGTAATATACAGTCCTATGACATTGCCTAACCTGAGGTTATTGTCGTTGTGGTTATCTATATATAAAGCCAAAAGTACCCATGAACTTTTGAAAAAACTACAAGTCACACCCCCATAAACAATATACTTAAAATGTTCGTCATGACAAGGAACCTTGCACAAAACTATGAATTTTTTCATAAATTGCCCTTTAAAGTCATAATTGCTTTCCAGAGGGAACTTTCCATATAGCCTACTTAATGTTAAAAATACCTCAGCTGTTCTTATTTGTATGTTATCCTTTCTTTTTATTACCTCATTAAAATCTCGTGTGATTATTTATTTGTAATGCTGTAGGCCTAATCTGTTTTGTTTATTTCAGCAACCAATCAATAGTTTTATCAAAGATTACATATGCTACGCAGAATAGATATTGCTTGGTTTTATTAATACTTATGAAGTCAAACGGGTTGAAGCCCCGTGGGTAACAGCTAGTTAGTGTTAAATGCCAAATGGTTCCTATTCCATTCTTGCCTTTTTAATCACCATAAGCCCATTTGTAATTATTTTTGGGACTCGAGATTCAAAGATTCGAGATTAGATTTTTTTTGGATTCAAGTAGAATTCAACTTCCTCAAGAACTCAGACAAGGTAACCAATAATTGCAATATCGTATAACTCTTGTAACTGGGAAATACATTCAACTTTCTATTTTGCTTGTAGGATATCCCATCAACTGGACTCGATCGCTGGTACCAGTTGGAGGCGCGGACGAACCGGTCAAATATCCAAGGCCGGATCAGGTTGAAGCTATGGCTGTCTACGCGGGAGGACCGGGGCGCTAGTGAGGAAGACAACTGGTCTGCGATGCGCAGCTCACATCGGCTACATGCAGTGTTTATTGACCACGAGACGGCTCTGGCGCAGGGACAGTGGAATGGAGACCTGCCTCATGTCGGTGAGTCAAAAGTTAGAGAGTAGATATCCCAGCCATTTGAATCAGCTATGTGATGCTCACGTCACAGCTGATCCACGTCATACCGGTAAATCAGCTGAGATCTGGAAACTAGGGGAGGGGTTAGGAAGGGCCACGAGACACCAGTTAGGAGTCTACCCGATCGGACCCATGCTTGAAGCCGGTCTACTGATTGATAAGTTTTACCATAGTTATTAAGATTAATATAATGTTCTATTTCTTGAAAGGAAAGGGGGGGGGGAGATCAAAGGGTTTATGGAACTATATTCTATCTGCTTGGTATATGTAAACTGAACATTTCAGCACACTCGTACTCTTATGGTGCAAGTGTAAGATTTTACTATTCTTAACTTATAATAAATTTAAAACCAGATGTATTAGAAATATCAGATCGAAATGGCTGTGATAGGGATGTGGTTTGGCTCGGTAATTAATTTAGGTTTTATATTATTCACATTAGAATGTCGCACACACCAGCAAATTGATTTCATTGAGCCTCAATGATCCTTATGAGCCCAGTACCGTTACAACTAATAAAAGTACGTGCTTCAGCTGTTTCCAATTTTAATTCAGATAGAACATATTGTAATTAGTATGTGATACTGTTAAAGTTCCATTTTCTGCCTGAGTTTATTGAGACATAGTTTTATATGTCTGGTAAGGCCCTTATTAGACGAGGCAGCCAAGTTGCGCAGCCAGCCGGGCAGCCAGTCGGCCAGTTAGTCACTGGGCATTGGTTCTTATGGAGCTTATTACACGAGGGCAGCCAGTTGCGCAGCCACTGTTTGGCTGCCGGCTGGTTGCCGAGCCCGGCGACCGCACAGGCAACCACTGGCTGCACGGTCTGGTCGCGCCCCTGTGTAGCTTACGGATCTTATTACACTGGGCAGCCAGTCGCCCACTGCCACGGCCACACATCAGTAGTAGATCATCACTCGTGGAAGTGCGTTCATCTATGTCGGTCACATCATTGTGTGTTGTTTTCCTCAGTATTCTTTTGGCGAACAATGTCTTCTGATTGTAAAGTGAGAGTGAATGTTGTAGCAAACAACTAGAATAGTGAAGTGAGTGTGGTTGGAATGGAAGTTGCAATAAATCTAAAAAGAAGGAACAGGGAGGTGACTCTAAAACCACTGCACCAAAAAAGCGTCTCTCCCCAACAGAACTGTTCCACCAACACTGTTCCACTGTTAACAAGAGACTGGCCTAGTTGGTAATTTTGTGGCTGCCCTGTGGCTGCTCTACTGGCTGCTCTACTGGTTGCTACGCTAGGCAGCCAGACAGGCGACTGGCTGCCCGGCTGGTTGCGCAACTTGGCTGCCTCGTCTAATAAGAGCCTAAGCCGAGTGATTAGAGTGATAGCCTTAAAATCCGTGGGGCTAATGATGCCGATTTTGACCTATGCTACATTTGCCAGTCGGGTTGTCCATTAATACTTACATACATTAGTACATAGGCTAGTATTTGTAATGTATTTTTGGACAATCGGGTTCATTTCGGTAAAAATCCAACCACCTAAATGTTTTATCTGAATTCAATTCAATTATCAATTATCAATCATTAAGATGGGACGACACTTGTCGTATCGAATGTGGTACGGTGTCAATTGATTCAGATAATTTGAGTTCTACTACTATTTCTCCCTTTTATATTTTCCTTTTTTGATTTGCATTGACACAAATTTTCTAGGTTTTCTTTTAACTATGCTTTGCTTCGTTACAACTGTCCACATCTCCTGTTCAGTCAGTTTGTTTGTTGGCAGCCCTGAGTATTTTACACCAGCATGCAATACAAGTAGACATATTTGAACTACAGTTGGCAGCAGTGCGGTGGTTGGCGTACAGTCGGGACACAACCTAGTGTAGACCCCAGAGTGCAGTGCAAGGGGAGTTTTGCTGAAGGTCTCATTCCGCATACAATTTACATTTTAGACTTGTTTCTGAGCGTCTAAACGAAGCTGAAGGTCTAAATCCCGGAAGGTCTAAAAGTACAGTCAATGTAGAAAACTCATCCACTGATACTGTTTTAGATCTTGCAGTAATGTTTAGGTTGTGTTTTGGTAAGAATTTTTTTCTTTTGTTTCTGCTATTTCATTTACGGGTCTTAAAATATATTTTTAAATTCATCCTGGTTATGTGCGATACATTCTAGTCTAGTACATACAAACTAAACACCGTCAATATTTTCAAATTTTGCTTTACATACTCATTATTGGTAATTCATTCCGATATGTATTTTTCATGATGGCATTATCAATGTTAATCTTGGTTTGTTGGCTAATCATCACATAAATAAAATTATATACAATTTACTAAAAAATGTGGAAGTATATTACGAGTTTACATCAAAACTCATCTCCAGCCTCTGGTAACAACATATCAAGTAAATAGACTATGATTTATAATGTTTGTTTATAAATTAACATATGTTTGAATAATAATAACATAGGTACTCATTATAATCTAGATTTAACATTGTTCTTTTATCAACCAGTTGGCCTATCTTATATAAAAGGAAGTGTACCTACGCCAAAAGCACCTACACACAAAAATCTGAGTTAGAGTAAAACAGTACGACTAACCTACATTATGTTATTAACAAAATGAAAACCAAAATTCCTTAAATCTAATCCCAATCCAATCACATGTTAATTTAACTTTACTCGTCTTATGTACATGTTGTTTTTTTGAAAGTCGATAGTTATAAATGAGATTTTTAATACAATGGAATCAACCTATGGTGAAATCGATCAATGGTGAAATCAACCTATGGTGGTGGCAGTGTTCTCGCATTAGCTTAGCTAGTACTGTATACCAGTTAGTGTGCAAAATCAGTTACTTACAACCTACAAATTTTACGCTACAAAACCTGTACGCGCAACATTGTTGATATGATCTAGTGCAACAGCTGCTGGATGGGTTTGACGGGACTGCAATGTTGCCACTTTTTCTCGCTGCGGCCTTGCATTAGAGGAGGCTATGCTGATAGTGATGCAACGAGTCCAAGTAGTCGGATCAATAATTAAATTGGTCTGAACAGCTGATTTGCTGACGTTCAAAGCATTATAATTGTACTTCTTTTCTCTCAATACTTGAACCTCATTGGTCAGCTACTCGTGTTGTTAATTAAAATAACAATACTAGACTGCCCAATTCCCGGTTTGACTCTTAAAGCAACAATTACAAAATGCAAAATGTGTGCCAAAGGTCTAATTAGACCTTCCGGGATTTAGACCTTCAGCAACTGTCCCAAATACCAAAGTTTTGTTTGTTATGCCTACCTGTGAAGGTATGAAAACGTAAATTTGTGCCATTTTTTCACTGATAATACTTTGTTTGTAGCTTAACATATAAACATTTGTTACACTAACTTCGCACCACCCTGTATAGTAAGGATATAATTAGAGTGATAAGGGTACAACTCATAACTCATAAGGGATCATCACCTACTTAAACATCACAATCACATCACATTAGTTGGAAAACAATGGAAGGGCTTGACATAATCTTGCTCCATGAGTAAAAAAAACCTGAAAGTCATGTGCAATAAAGACAGGAACTGAAATAATAAACACATTTAATTGGATAAACACAATTTAATGCCAGGTTTTCACAATAAACCTAACTAATAAACCTGAATAGGTTGCACTATTCATTCACCTGTTAATGACTTTTGTATGACATTTTCGACTGAAGATGTGACAACCTCCTTAGCTTTTCCTACTGCGTAATCCGTAACTGCGGTTGTAGCTTTATTAACCGCGTAGTAGCCAGCCGCCCCTACAGCTAGGTACGGAAATAACATCGCTGTCGCGATAGACCCCGCAACGATTACCGCACCTTCCTTGACTCCCTGTTTTTCTTCTGAAACCAAAATACAAAATAATGATTTAATGTCATCAATATCCCTTCCACTGATACATTCAAGCACTATTTATGTGTTTTTATAAAGTCCACACGAGGTAAGCCCTCAAGTTTTTACTTTCTCCCCATTTTCATTGTATATGGTGGAGAAAGTATTGTTTTCGTCCAACGAGTTTGAGTTATGGGTAGCCCTGAACCCAAAAATTTGATTTTGAAGTGTGTCTGAGTGTGTGTGAGTCACGGTGGGAAATCTTTCTTCTTCCGTTAAATGTCTTGGACCGGTGGGGTGGGAGGGGGGGATTGTTGGCATTTTCTGGCCCTTCAGTTGGTGTCCGGTCGATTGCAGACATTGAAAATTGTCGACACATCATTAAAGCAGGCAATTGCGGACAATAGGGACTAATTCCCTAACAACTTGGTTATTGCCATTCTCCCATATTGGGAATAAGCCTTTTACTGTACCGTAGGTCTCATGGTAAGACCTAGACCTGGGATTGATTTACTTTTTCATTTTGAGGTCCCCAGAGCCCAAAAACACCTTCCGTTCAAATTCATATATATATATATATATATATATATATATATATATATACTAACAGTTATCCGGCACGCGTTGCTGCGCTAACAAAATACATCAGTCTGTATGAAAAGCATTTTTTTTCTACATTTAAACCAACAATAGTCAGGGAGCCTTATAATGGTGATTGCGAAAGCAAGACACTAAGGAAATTGTAGTTGCTTAAATTCAGAGGGTAATTCAGATGAAATCATCAGTATTATTCTTGGGATTAATAAGACTATTTTCCCCTTAAACCTACCACTGATAATTTTTGCTTTAATCAATTTTGACTTCATTTTTTTAATCGTTAGTCTGGTAACGTTGCACAGCTTCGGTGGATTTTAGTTTCGCATTATTATTGGAGTTCTTTTTTTTTAAAGACAGTAATGTGGTGGGTTAATGACAAATTGAGAGGCATTTGAATTCCCGAGATACGCACAATTATTATTCACCTAGTAATTTATGTTAGATTGTGTGGGTATAGAACGAAAGATAAAAATAATAAGGCATTGTCATCCCTTTAATTGTTTATAATACTTTGATAAAGGTTTTTATGTTTTTAATATTTAAAATTGGAGAATTTAAACGTTGTTGAGAGCACAGGTGTGCTACAATTGGGGTTTCGGGTTTAATACATTTGGACTTAATCAAAAGTAAACTAGTTTTCTGTGCTGCACTCTGTAGCAACACTGTGGCACTATTTCAAATCATGACTAATGCTAATACAGAATGATGTGATTATTCAAACCTATAAAACAGTTGGTGAAAGTAAACATCTGCTTTTAAATTATATTTTTTTGCAAACATTGTAGATCAAAAAGTCTGACATTTGCCCACTTAAAACCTTCTTGGGCAGAGCCCTTTTAACGGATCTACACCAAACTTCACTCGAACCATCCTTGAAAGATGCTTAGTAATGCCTGAAAGTTTCATTACACAATCTGTCAAGCGGTTTCGGAGTCCATAACGTATATACATATATATAGGCCTACATACATACATAGTTCCTCTTTTATAGATATTGATATGTGTGTGTGTGTGTGTTAGCACCATAACTCGAGCAAAAATGACCGATTTTGATGAAATTTGGTACAGACGTGTAAAGCTACGTTTATTCGTACAAGTTCCCAAATCAGCATAATTGGAATATGGGTACGGGGTTTTTCGGGGGTTTATAAGGGTTAAAAATAGATTTTTCCCATTTTTTCACATTTTTCCCCATTTTTGGCTCTAAAAACCAAAATTCCATAATTTTTTCTAAACCATTTTTTAGAGCTTAAAAAATTAATAATTTTGTATATTGAAATGTGTTGTATGCCCAAGGGTTACGTAGATAATTAAACAAATGTTAAATTGTAATTTCCATGTTATTCTTATAGAGAATGTCCACTGTTGTAGTTTGCTTGTCTATGGATATATTTTAATCAAATGTGGCAATTTTGTTTATTTAACAATAAGATATCAACATTTCAATTAAAAAACACAACTCAATCAATACCTTCAACCTTCCTGTAGCAGCAAACCTGAGTACCATTAAAATTAATGTTATTTATATAGGAAATAAATCTGACAATTTAAAAGGAATATTTTAGTAGAAATCCAGCCAGGTAAATGGAAATTCGCTTAGTCTGCAGGTTTGCTGTGACAGGGTTATTTTTGGAATGTGTTCGATCCATTTACATTTACATGTGTATATTTTGTAGATTTATTGCACTTTCATTAATGGTTTTGATTGGGGTTTGTAGAATTGTGAGGGAATCAAGAAAAGTTATTGTAGAGTTGGGATTGCTTTATGTGTTTGGCTACCATTGATGTTATTAATGGTAAGAGCCTGATGATATTGCACTATTATAAGGTAGCAGTAATATAAAATCTTATGGAAATCATTTTCTCAAATATTTTGTTATACAGTATTAGAGTTATGTCTACATTTTAATTACTTACCAATTGATCGATAGGGAATACGGGTCTCGACATTCTTGAGTGGCAGGTCATTCGGTGCACTTTTGGCTTCGCAGGAACCCTGAAAATGAGAAAGTCTCTAGACTACAAAATATTTAAGTACCGATTCTGTACGCAATGTAAAGCAATGGGTGATTTGCACTATTTTTTAATAATTTTAAGGCCATTACATACTAATTTTAATAAAAGCCAACTTTTTAAATGTTGTTCAACGGGTTTTATGGAAAACTATCACAAGTTACAATAATTCTTTACCGTAATTTTTAGAATGACGGGGAGTCCTACAGGAACTCCCAATATTTCGTTTAGAATTATAAAGACCATAACAAACAAATTTTAATCAAAACCGGTTTTTTGTCAAAAATACGATTTTGGTTATTTCATGGGTTTTATGGGAAAATAACATAAGTTTTAATAACTTTTGAACTGACCTTTTTACAGCAATGGGATTTTCTAATTTGCACCATTGTGTTCAGAATTTGAAGGACTTTAACAAAATGCATTTTTACCAAAATCATTTGGGCTTTTTTTGAAAAATTATTTTTTCCATTATTTAATGGGAAAATTGCCATTAAAAATCAAAATGAAAAAAATTCCTGAAGATATAATGGATGGACCACTACCTATGTACTTAATTTCATCAAAATCGGACTACAGGTGTTGTCTGTAGCTCTGCACGCATTCACACACACAAGCACACACACACACAGACATCCCTCCAAAAACACCTTTTTTGGGTTCAGGGGGATCCAAAACGCATATATCCACTCAAAAGTCAATCTCGAAAATTTTGACGAAAACAATAATTTCTCTATGGATACAACAGGGTTAGGCAAAAGTCTGGAACCCCTCAGTTAACTTTTTAACATGTTGCAGTAGGAAAACCAAAATCGGCACATAATTACAACATAAGAAATTGCACTTTTTCATCAAAGTTACAACATTGCCCCAGCCCCCAAAATGGGGTATTTTTGTTGGATTTACAAATGTAAACACCTATCATGTGACCCCTCGTTTTAAAGGGTTTATCAAGAGAAATTGAATGGTGCAAACCAGAGGTCAGTATCGCACCCCTAATAAAAATGGCAGCCATTTATATATTTAAGATGAGCAAGCAAGATAAAGTCTGGACACCCCCAGTTAACTTTATAAAGTGTGGCAGTGGAAAACCCAAACTTGGCACATGTTTACAACATAAAAAATTTACTTTTTCATTAAAGTCAGAACTTGTATCCGGCCTCCAAAATGGGGTCTTTTGGGGGCAGCCCCAAATCTTCAAAAGTAAACACCTATCATGTGACCCCTCATTTTAAAGGGATTCTCAAGACAAATTAAATGGCTCAAACTAGAGGTCAATATCACAACCTTAATCATGTTGGGTTAAAAAGTAAAAAATAATTTAAATAAAAAGAAAAAATCTTTTTAAAATAAAACCTTGTTTTAAACACACTAAAAAGTAAAAAATAATTAGTTGATAAATATGTGGGGAAAACAAATACTTGTAAGATTTAAAATGAAAAACGTGGGGGACATGCAATAAACGATAATAATTCAATAGGTTAAGATAATCGTAAATTAGCTATTGCATGCGCTCGACGTTTTTTCATTTATAATCTTACAAGTATTTATTCTCTCCACATATTTATCAATTAATAATTTTTTACTTTTTAGTGTGTTAAAAACATGGTATGTTAAAATTTTTTTTTATTTATAAATTTAAATGATTCTTTTTCTAACTATAGTAAATTTAAATCCATGGCTGTAATATTTACCAAGATGAAAATGAAAGAAGAAACTAGAACCAGACGAATCATTTGTGGATGGTGGCTCCAAGACTTGTACAGTAGTAACTGTTTTAATGTTAGGTTGAATGTTAATAATACTTTGCGCTCACACATGTGTAATGTTCCTGACGTATACAAATAAACAAATCAATTAATCAAACTGTTCTGTCATTCGCAAGCAACATGCCAGTTTAAAGTGCCTGACTATCTTTTAGAATTTTCATGAAAAAATACATTTAAAAGCAAAGATGCGAAAAGATATATTTTTGTTGTTTTTACTAATAAAACTTACAAGTAGGCATAAAAAAATATGTCTAATCACACTCTTGAAATAAGTGTATATTTACACTTTGTTTTGAGAGTGATATTAGACGTAATTTTATATACTTTTTATAAATTTAATAACATTGCAATGCTGATCAAGAAGTTGTTTGGTTCACATGTAGTACAAAATCTGTAAGCACAACGTTGTTGATATGATCTAGTGCAACAGCTGCTGGCTTAGTTTGACAGGACTGCAACGATGCCAAATTTTCTTGCTGCAATCTTGTATTAGAGGAGGCTATGCTGATAGTTGTGCATTGTCTCCAAGTAGACGGATCAATAATTAAATTGGTCTGAACAGCTGATCAGCTGACGTTTAAAGCATTATAATTGTACTTCTTTCCTCTCAATCCTTGAACCTCATTGGTCTGCTACTCGTGTTGTTGATTAAAATAACAATACTAGATGTCAAGTAAGTAAAACAAGCTTTTAAGTAAATCTTTCAGTTCCAATAACTGGACGGAAATTGTTCGTTTGACAAACGGTCGCAGGTTAAAATGGTTTCAGTGTTGGTTTAACTAACAGCTGGCTTAAAACTGTCATTGAAATGTTAATATTACTAGGTGTGCGGTCTCAGTTCCGCCAATTGAGCGGAGCAAAGAAAATAGTAAACAAATATCTTTCGGTAAATTTGTGTATATTTTATGACCGAAAATTAGAGTAGAGAATTTAAAGGGCTGTTTTATTCACATCAAAATCATAAATAAGGATTAGCTGTTTTATAGTTTTTCCCTGAGTTAATCTATTAATTCTGCCACACAGTTTAATGCAAAAATTCAAGGCAGTTTCATTGAAATAAGAAATAAGTACGCTTGAGATTTGTCTGTAAAATTTGCATAGTAAGTAGGTGTAACATGTTTTTTTTGCATTAGATTTAATACAATGTTAATAAGCTATCTATGTACTACGCATTAAACAAACACATACCTTCCCAAGGCTTAAGAGTCTTTGGAGGCTAGCAGCCATCTTGAAAAGTTTCAAACAGCTGCTGAAGAGTTATTTATCATCGAAAAATATTTGTTCAAACACCAGAGTGATTCTAATTTAAATATCTAACATACTGTGGGATTAGAAGTTTTTTTGTAGTTCTTTAATTGTTTTATGAGTTTGAACGTCTAGGCTCCAAGAACACTTACCGTGCGTGCTTTCAAAATACAAATTCAACTTAGGTCAATGTGTCTACAGCCTTCAACTCAGCCACGCAATGTACACATTTTTAGACCTTTGGGATACAGATCGCATTTTGCACTAGTAGCAGAAGGTATAAAATAAGAATGTTATACCTTCCGTTACTAGTTCAAAATGCAAACTGTGTGCTGGAGGTCTAATTAGAATTTCCAGGATTTAGACCTTCAGCAACTCTCATTTTATAAACAATTTACAAAATATAAGTTGTGTACCAAGGCCTAAATCTAAAAACCGCAAGGTTAGGCACAGGTCTAAAACAGTACCAGTTTTTTATCAGAGTTTTCTTCATTGACTGTACTTTTAGACCTTCCTGGATTTAGACCTTCAGCAACTGACCCAAATACCAAAGTTTTGTTTGTTATGCCTACCTGTGAAGGTATGAAAACGTAAATTTGTGCCATTTTTTCACTAATACTTTGTTTGTAGCTCAACATATAAACATTTGTTACACTAACTTCGCACCACCCTGTATAGTAAGGATATAATTAGAGTGATAAGGGTACAACTCATAACTCATAAGGGATCATCACCTACTTAAACATCACAATCACATCACGTTGGTTGAAAAAAAATAGAAGGACTTGACATAATCCTGCTCCATGAGTAAAAAAAACCTGAAAGTCATGTGCAATAAAGACAGGAACTGAAATAATAAGCACATTCAATTGGTTAAACACAATTTAATGCCAGGTTTTCACAATATACCTAACTAATAAACCTGAATAGGTTGCACTATTCATTCACCTGTTAATGACTTTTGTATGACATTTTCGATTGAAGATGTGACAACCTCCTTAGCTTTTCCTACTGCGTAATCCGTAGCTGCGGTTGTAGCTTTATGAACCACGTAGTAGCCAAGAAAACCTACAGCTATGTACGGAAGAAACATCGTTGTCACGACAGACCCCGCAACGATTACCGCACCTTCCTTGACTCCCTGTTTTTCTTCTGAAACCAAAATACAAAATAATGATTTAATGTCATCAATATCCCTTCCACTGATACATTCAAGCACTATTTATGTGTTTTTATAAAGTCCACACGAGGTAAGCCCTCAAGTTTTTACTTTCTCCCCATTTTCATTGTATATGGTGGAGAAAGTATTGTTTTCGTCCAACGAGTTTGAGTTATGGGTAGCCCTGAACCCAAATATTTGATTTTGAAGTGTGTCTGAGTGTGTGTGAGTCACGGTGGGAAATCTTTCTTCTTCCGTTAAATCATTAAAGCAGGCAATTGCGGACAATAGGGACTAATTCCCTAACAACTTGGTTATTGCCAATCTCTCATATTGGGGATAAGCCTTTTACTGTACCGTAGGTCTCATGGTAAGACCTAGACCTGGGACCGATTTACTTTTTCATTTTGAGGTCCCCAGAGCCCAAAAACACCTTCCGTTCAAATTCACTAGCAGTTACCCGGCGCGCGTTGCTGCGCTAACAAAATACATCTGTCTGTGTGAAAAGCATTTTTTTTCTACATTTAAACCAACAGGGAGCCTTACAATGGTGATTGCAAAAACAAAACACTAAGGAAATTGTAGTTGCTTAAATTCAGAGGGTAATTTGGATGAAATCATCAGTATTCTTGGGATTAATAAGACAATTTTTCCCTTAAACCACTGATAATTTTTGCTTTTTTAATCAATTTTGACTTCATTTTTTTAATTGTTAGTCTGGTAACGTTGCACAGCTTCGGTGGAGTTAAGTTTCACATTATTGGAGTTCTTTATTTTAATGACAGTAATGTGGTGGGTTAATGACAAATTGAGAGGCATTTGAATACCCGAGACAGCACGCACAGTTGTTATTCTCCTAATAATTTATGTTAGATTGTGTGGGTATAGAACGAAAGATAAAAATAATAAGGCATTGTCATCCCTTTAATTGTTTATAATACTTTGATAAAGGTTTTTATGTTTTTAATATTTAACATTGGATAATTTAAACGTTGTTGAGTGCACAGGTGTGCTGCGATTGGAGTTTAATACATTTGGACTTATTCAAAAGTAAAATCGTTTTCTATGCTGCACTCTGTAGAAACACTGTGGCACTATTTCAAATCATGACTAATGCTAATACAGAATGTTGTGATTATTCAAACCTACAAAACAGTTGGTGAAAGTAAACATCTGCTTTTAAATTATATTTATTTGTAAACATTGTAGATCAAAAAGTCTGACATTGGCCCAATTAAAACCCTCTGGGGCAGAGCCCTTTTGAAGAATCTGCACCAAACTTCACTCGAACCATCCTTGAAAGATGCTTAATAATGCCTGAAAGTTTCATTACACAATCTGTCAAGCGGTTTCGGAGTCCATAACGTATATACATATATATAGGCCTACATACATACATAGTTCCTCTTTTATAGATATTGATATGTGTGTGTGTGTATGTGTTAGCACCATAACTCGAGCAAAAATGACCGATTTTGATGAAATTTGGTACAAACATGTAAAGCTACGTTTATTCGTACAAGTTCCCAAACCAGCATGATCGGAATATGGGTATGGGGTTTTTTTTGGGGGGTTTATATGGGGGAAAAATAGATTTTTCCCATTTTTTAGATATTTTTCCCCATTTTGGCTCAAAAAACCAAAATTCCATAATTTTTTCCAAACAATTTTTTAGAGCTTAAAAAATAAGGGTTACGTATATAATTAAACAAGTGTTAAATTCCATGTTATTCTTATAGAGAATGTCCACTGTTGTAGTTTGCTTGTCTATGGATATATTTTAATCAAATGTGGCAATTTTGTTTATTTAACAATAAGATATCAACATTTCAATTAAAAAACACAACTCAATCAATACCTTCAACCTTCCTGTAGCAGCAAACCTGAGTACCATTAAAATTAATGTTATTTATATAGGAAATAAATCTGACAATTTAAAAGGAATATTTTAGTAGAAATCCAGCCAGGTAAATGGAAATTCGCTTAGTCTGCAGGTTTACTGTGACAGGGTTATTTTTGGAATGTGTTCGATCCATTTACATTTACATGTGTATATTTTGTAGATTTATTGCACTTTCATTAATGGTTTTGATTAGGGTTTGTAGAATTGTGAGGGAATCAAGAAAAGTTATTGTAGAGTTGGGTTTTGCTTTAGATGTTTGGCAGGAATCGCTAGGGGCTCAAAAGCGCATTCTAAAAATCTGCAACGATGACATCATAGTTTAGTTCAAAATTTCTCCGTTAACAGCGTTGTAGTAGAGAGCACAGCGCGTAATTTTTACTTCACTATTAGGCCTAGTTAATTATAAAATTAAGAAAGATTATAAAATTAATTTTAAAATGTTTCAATTATTAAATTAAACTGTCATAACCTAACCAAACTAACCAAACGTGCTGATAATGAAAAAATCGAATGAAGTTTTACTAATCTAATAAATAGTTTTGGTCATAAAATAAAATTATAAATGTCTAAAATTCAATTTTATAATTTTTTAATTATAAAATTAAACTGTCATAACCAAACCAAACCAACCAAACTTGCTGATATGAAAAAAATTTTTTGACAAAATGTTAGTGCTGCCAGCGGGATTCGAACCCAGTATCTTCGGTTTGTCAGCTCGGTACGCTATC